AAAAAAAAAAAAAAAAAAAAAAAAAAAAAAAAACAAAGAAAACGGAATTTTAGGGAAGAAAAAAAGAAAAGAAAAGAGTAAGAGAATCTCTGGAATGTGTATATCTTCGAAGAAGATTCTTTTCTCTTATATACATTATTATTTTTCTTCATTTCACTATTTTTTTTTTTTTTATTCCTTCTCTGTACGTGAAGACATGTAAGCATTTTCTAATAATAACCTTTATTTGTACTCATTCCCTTTTTAATTCTTTTTAATTCTTTTTTTTTTTTTTTTGGTTGTTGTAGCGGTTAGGGGCGCAGTTTAAAAGATAGCACCTCCGTGGATAATATAACGAGAGAAACCTCTAGATAGTGAAAAACAAAAAAAAAAAACGAGTGAGAATAAGAAGGTTCACTTGTAAAACTGTGTACTAATCACTAAAAAAAAATATATATATATTTCTTATTATTATTTACTTCAAAGAAATATTACTTTCTATTTGTATTTGAAAAAATGGATGCTCAAGAGATTATTCGTGAAGATATTCGTCGAATTCGGGGTGAAATTGACCGTGTCTCCTGTGAACGGGATGAAAGGGCCCTTTCTGAGGCTCGCGCTGCTGTGAGTTCTCTAATGGAAGGACGCTACAATGGATCTTCCCTTTACTATACTCTGTGTTGCGCCGTGCTTCCACTCGTTCTCTGTATTGGCTTTCTCTTACTTTACGCATCTGCAAAGATGTTGAATGAACGTTTGAAGCGAAGACAACTATGGAGACACGTGTGTGAAGCCTCCGTCGTAAAGGCAGAACTTAATGTACGTAAGTTAAGTCATGCCTCACGGCGTGCATCTCGTAGACGAGCAATCTTCGTTGTGGTGATAAAGTGTATTGTGGCTACCTCCGTTCTCTTGATGTTTGTGGGATCACGACTTATGATGGAGTTGACATTTCGTTCTTGGCTAAAAGGATTATTGTTAACACCTGTCTCCTTCACGGATCCTGCCGCAGCCACTGCCGCTGAATTCACCACAGACACATGGCAACAACTCTATCTTGATATCATGTCACTTTTCAGTATTGATTGGTTCAAAGATATTCAAGGGTTAATCATTTTCTCATCTATTGGATCAGGTCTAATGGTACTTGGTCTGCGATTACTGCACTCCGCCAGCAATGATGCCATTGCCCTTAACACACGCTCTACTTCCTCATTATATCTTATGCAGAAGGTGGACGACAGATACGCCGCAAAGGGACAGGAACTCATGCAAAAGCAGATTTCAGAAATGGTGGCGATGCTATCCGAATGCATGCATCCACAGGAAAATGGGCAAGGCATGAATAACCACAATGCGGTGGATCAAGGAGAGGAAAAGGTGCAACAGATTAAACCAAACAAGGAGGAGGAGGACGACGACGAGGAGAAGAAGAAGGAGGAGGAGGAGGAGGAGGAGGAGGAAAAGAAAAAAGAATAAGAGAAACAGAAAGAGAAGGGTCTGAAAAAAACATGACGAAAAGAATGAAAATCCAAAAAAAAAGATGATGTGAAAACAGACTTGACCCTTTAAAACAATGCTGTACAATAAAGAGAAAGTCCATCTATTACTAGCGGAGGGCAGAATGCAACAGCGTCCGTAAGGGGAAATAGAGAAAAGGTGACCCTAAAGAACGGGATATATCAAAAGAAACGCCGTTTTTTTTTTTCCCTTCTGCCTATTCTCTTCTTAGTAATACATGGAGAACAAGAATAAATAAAATGTAAATACTTATCACAATGTCCCTCTTTTTCTTTTGCATGTGCGCTTGTGTGTCCGCTGTTTTTCAGGTATTACTCTCATTTGTCTGACAAAATAGGTATTTTTAAGGGGTAAAAATTCAATAAAACAAAATCTCCTTTACTTAATTATTCATCAGTTACTTAAGTATAGAAAAAAAAAAAAAAAACAGATTCTGTTTTTGCCTTATTCGAACCATTTTGTAGACAATGAAACCACCCCAGTATGATTTTTTTTTTCATCTGCATTGATATAATGCCTCAGAAGTAGGGCTAAACTTGTACTATTTATACATCATTTAAACTTTATTTTCATATACTCCATTAAACTCTCAAACACACATAGGATCATAAATATATATATATATATATATATATATATATATATATATATACATAGGTTCCAGTAATATCAACAAGTACAGACACTTCAATAGATAGTGAAAAAGACTGCAATAGAATAACAAAAACAACAGAATAATAGAAATATACACGTACTTCCCTCTATACCTGCGGCAGTGTTGGTTAGTTATGTTATTAATAACGGTTTGGACAACAGAAAGTAACACTGTCACTGGTACTATGGTGTGCCAGAAGTAGTAGTCGAGGTTCTTGGTGTTGCCCGTCTATACGCATACAGAGAAAAGAGCGATAGAAAGAGAGAGGCGATGAATCGTGCGGGTGGTTCCGTGTATGCACATGCCATGGCGCAGTTTGCTGTATGCCGACAGCCGTGGGATGAGTACATCCGGCTGCTGACGCGGCAGGACTCGCAGCCGTACCACGTGGCGCCGCAGGAGGAGCCGGCGTACAGGGGAAGGAAGCG